TGGCACAGAAGAAGGGAAGGCAGCGGTCTGCCAATTTTGACATGAAGTGGTTGAGGTGGATATTCTGCCAGTGAGCCTCTGAGTCTCCTTCATTGATCGGGGAGGTGCCATGTCTATTATGGCATGTACCTTGCTTGGGTTGGCCTCAATGCCCCTCTGAGTGACGACAAAGCCTAAGAATTTCCCCGAGGTAACCCCAAAGGCACACTTGCTCGGACTGAGCTTCATGTTGAACTTACGCAGAGTATCAAAGGTCTCGACCAAGTCTGAGGTGTGCTCTTCGGCCTTCAGGCTCTTCACTACCATGTCGTCCACATAGGCTTCGACGTTACTCCCCACCAGATTCTTGAAAATCTTGTTGACGAGGCACTAGTAAGTGGCCCCTGCATTTTTTAGGCCGAACGACATCACTTTGTAGCAATACGTGCCATGCTCAGTGATGAAAGATGTCTTCTCCTCGTCTTCGGGGTGCATCTAGATCTGGTTATACCCGGAGAAGGCATCCATGAAGCTGAGTAGTTCATACCCTGCAGTGGCGTCGACGAGGTGGTCTATCCTTGGTAAAGGGAAACTGTCCTTCGGGCAGGCTTGGTTAAGGTCTGTGAAGTCAATACAGATCCGCCATTTCCCATTAGCTTTCCTTACCAAAACCACATTAGATAGCCAGTTAGGGTAATGTACCTCACGGATGAAGCCAGCGTCGAGTAGCTTGTCAACTTCCTCCCCTATAAACTTCCATCGCTTTGGTGCAAAGTTCCTCTTCTTTTGTCGAGCTGGCTTAGGGGTCCATGCTCAACCTATGAGTAATGACCGAAGGGTCAATTCCGAGCAGGTCAGTGGCGGACCAAGCAAAGACATCAGCGTTAGTTCTGAGGAAACTTATCAATTCAGATAGGTGTTCAGGGGGAAGGTTGGACCCGATGCAGACTATCCTCTCCGAAGCTGACTCATCTAGGGGAACCGAGACGAGGTCCTCGGCTGGTTGGCCTCGGCTCGCTGGTTCCTTCTAGGGATCGAGGCCCTCCAGTGATAAGG